CAAGTGCAATTGATAACAATCTAAATGCCATTAAGTTGACGAAAGTTTCTTCGCAGCTCTTAAAAATCTTAATTCTCTTCCTGAAGGAGTGAGGGAAATTCACTCCAAACGTAGTTTTTACTTAGTATTTGTTTTATTTATTGGCTAGTGACGAGTCTGTGTATATATTACCAATTCCGATAAAACTGATTGATTGACGTTTAGATCACGTGATCCAACACGTGACCTTCGTGGTCAGTATTATGGTCTCAAGGTAAAAGTCCGTATGGAAAATCATCGTCCTTGTAAGTTTCAGCGCAATCGGCTGTATTTTTGCAATTTACCCTCTTGACTCAGGCCTTAAAACTGCTCTAGTTCTGGGCGCTAAATACGAGAACTATAGAGGCGCACTATACTAAGACATCATCGATTATAAAAATCCTGTCTGAAGCTTAAAACCTGGGTAAGTTGTTCTCCGACTCATTTTGTGATGACACGTCTCAAAAATCAATTTCGAAAAACAGAGTTAGCATCTTATGTTTTCTTGTTTTGAGAAGGAGGAATAGCTAAGTAAGTGTATCTTGATTCAACTTGAGTCAACGGCCTTAAGTAAGAATCAAGCTCAGATAATTTAAACTAAGACATTATTTGGTGAAAGGATTTTTAAGCAAAGCCATTCATGTCAGTGATAATTTTCACATGTGGGTTTCAATAAGAACGGGTCTCAGAGGGCGAAACTGATGCAAGACTCTCCCCAAAAATGCATGGCTCTTTGTAATCAGCCTATAGTGCCTGTATACCTGGTAAGGGATTTTCATCGGTGAAAAACCATTGCTTTTTCTCGATGGGGAATGTTTGCATCCTTAACAGAGCAGCTGCGAAAGTGACTAAAGGGACTGTTTGTTGTTAAATGATATGATGAAATTGGAGAGATCTCTAGAAGTTATCAGGTGAGAATGCTGACCCTTAATAGTCGCTCTTCGCTGAAAATAATTCTTCATTTTTTGGCTGTTAGCACGCAATAGATCCCCATGACGCCGGAATAGCTCGTTTCGTGGAAAATTCAGTTAGCTAGAAACCAGGATGGAAATGATTATGCAAGCATATAATGGCGAAACATTGAAAACTAGACGATCTAAATTTTCTGAGTTTGCTGAGCTGTTTGTCTCCTCTTTCCTTATTCAGAGACGTCTCCATTTTCAATCCACAAAGTATAGCAGGATAAACACAGGTATTTCTTCCTTTAGCTCATGCATTGTCTAGCATTAAAAGAGCTACTGTATGCTATTCATGTGACCAGGATATTCTGTGCTACTATTAGTTTAAAGTAACTTTTAAAATGCAGTGATGTTTTCATTTTGAGCAAAAATTTGATCGAGAGATCATTTTGTTATGAGAGAGCTTGAAATCATCCGGAATCCAAAATTCAATGCTGCTATAAGGGCTTTTGCCTAATACGGTTTTAAATGCATGATTATTAAGACAAGAATGAAAGAATTGTTTATTCTCACTCTTCGAAGTCAAACTGCTGGCGGTAGATGCTCTGCCGATCTCATACGAGCGTGCCTTGCTATTTAGGCGGTCTATTTGAGTGGATGCTATTAGGAAATGATATTCGGATATCACACACCCATTTTTCCTTCTTCAGAATTCTTAAATTCAACCTGTTTACTGAACGAAACGAATCGACGGCTCTTTGTAATCATTCTATAGTGCCTGTATACCTGGTAAGGAATGTTGTTAAAAGACAAAATTGGTATCATGCAAGAATTTTCTGCAGATGTGTTTTTAACTTATTTAAGTGTTGGAAAGTGAATAGAAATAGCATACTAGCATAAGCCATTCAATTAAAAAAAGCCCTTGATCCTAACCCAGAGCAATATTATAAACGGCATATGGGTACGCTCTTTCTTCATCGAATTGCCTGTTTATTGTAGTTATGTAACAAGCTTCAAGGGCTATTTTCTGTTTAGTTATCCACATATGTGTAATTCTAATTTACGCAATGGGTCCTTCATAATTTTTATATTACAAATCTTGTTTTTGTTTTGCTCGATCTTAAACGCAAAAGTATGAAATTTAAGGTAGGAAGTCGTTTCGGAAAGAATCAACAAACCGAAGGTAAATATTTAGTATGCGAGAACTGTTCCACGTAACGCGGCGTGATTCGCTAGCTAAGGGGAAAAATGGTGACGTTGGTCAAATATTGACAGCACAAATATCTCAGTAGATGTGATTTGCTCATCATGGAAGCTTCGAGGAAGTTTGTTTTTCTTTGAAAAGAGTGCATTTTCCTGTTTGAATCACCGACTTTTATCGAAAAGAGCCGCTAAATTTGCGAAGCAAGCATGCTGCGAAAGACGATACCTTGAGTTATTCAATCGATTGATGGAAAGGAGGAACGGTGGATCGGCGTAATGGCGAAATATCTTAAAACGCCAAATAAGTCTTGAAAAAAGGAATTGCAACGAGATTAGAAAATTATTTGTGACTAATAAGCGATATTAAAGAAGCATAGCTAATCATTGTTGGAGCCCAGAGGATTAAGGAAGCATGAGGCTTTCGAGCTAGCCCTTTAAAGTGCCTATGACACGTTTTTTTTTTTGCGTAGTTATTTAGCTTATCATATGTACAAAATAGTTCCAGTAGTCAAAAAATTAAAAAAAAAACTCGGCTTTTTCGGGCCGTAAAGTGCGCTTATTTTGTCTTTAAGGTGTCTCGTGGACTGGTAACGAGTTAGAGGGTGATGAGGTTGAAAACTGTAAAAACTCTCAGTTGACACTTAAAAATCTCTCACTCTATCTCATGTAATTTTGTATTAGTCAGCGTTGAAATAGTCTCGAAATGATGTGCGATAGGGATTAATATTTACCTTCAGCAAGCTCTACTGAGAGTTCTGACAAATCGTAAAGTAGTAGTTAGAAATGGAAGTTACGAGTGTACCGTTTAGCCTTACGAAGGAGAACCAGGTGCATCGAACGAAGATTTTGACAGAGACTGACAAACACGGTTTCTTGCCTGCGGTGTTCAGGTCAAGAGTGGAACAAAAAACTCCCTTTACTGAATTGTTGTTTTTTCTGTGGCGAAATATACGTAGAGGATGGGTAGCTGTATTCGTTTCTGTTGCCATAACATGTTCCTACGCACTAAGAGCGGCAAGGATTTCCTTTGCCCATTGCTATAGAGTTTCGTCGTCGTAGCTGCTGTAGAGTAATTTCCTCGGCAAACAAAGAGCTAACTTTTGACGGCAGCATTGCAAGAATCAGCAGCATCACGAGGCACAATTATTTTTCGCCGAGAAGTCATCGGACAGTTTTACTGCGAGTTGTTCCTTTCCTTAGAGATTGCAAAGGCAGAGGCTATCGCTGTCGGGTCGGTCAAACGGGAAACAAGTGAGTCTATAGTCATCTGAATCAACTTTATCTCAAATAGAGATAAACGTTAATTTAAGAGCAGCATTGTCACATGACCCATTTCGCTCTCTGGCAAATAGAAGCGCAAGTGTAGTCATGTGGAAAGACAAGGATTGTGAGTACATTTCAAGCGCGTGAAATAAACAACAATTTGAATCTCACCATTCTTCGCCTGCGGAATGTCGGCCAAACAGAATGTGTCGGGTGTGGGAGCAGGCCATTGAATCGCATTCTTTTTAGTTGAATTTGTTAGCCATCTTCCCCCGGTTTGTCTAGTTAGATGTGTTCGAGGTCTTCGAAGCCTATGACACGAAATTACGCCCCTCTTAATGTATTAAAACACCAAAGGCAAACTCCAGTGGACAAAATTACTTAATTGATTCCTAAAAATGTCGACCTCAGCAAACAGCGAATTATTTGGAAAATTTAAAGAAGGGCGAATATCTCCCAATCTGTATTGAATTGTGTATTTATGGACGAGCTGAATTTGAGGTCGACAAAACAAAAAAAAACGCTGAAAAAGAGCTAAGCTATCGTACACCGAAGGATTTATTATACAAGCAAAATTTTTACACAATTTTGAGAGAAAAACTGAAAGAGGAAATCCAGCTCGCAGAGTCAGCTCTGAGGCGATATGTTTGAATTTTGTTAAACAGAAGCATACAAGGAGGAATTTTGAAAGGCAACTTTGTCCAAAGTTCAAAAGAGTAACCGAAGGCGGTTGGACTTTTTTGTTTAAGCTTGCCAATTATCAAACGATTACAGGAATCTTTGCAAACAGTTATACATGTGAAGATATCGTTCGTAAAGAAAAGCAGGAATAAGATAATTTGTCTGGCATAAAACGTATTCAGTTTACTCTACGAAACAGATCGGGAAATAGATAGTCACTAGCTATGAAGTCGGCCTTTATGTACAGTTGAAATTCCTTACATTTATCGAGCTATGTTCATAATATATTTAATTCGCGATACAGAGCTCAAAGCTTGTAAATACAAAAACTTGCGAGGTGTGGAGCAACCTTTGAAAGTAAGAACAGTTGTATTCACGGCAGCAAAAGAATCGCAACATTGCAAAGACAAAACGACCTCTTCTTACACCAAAGATGATGGTATCTACGTTGGAGGTTGCAACCATCGAGCTTCATCGAGATGACAGCCACTTTGGCGAACAAACGTACCCTTCATGAAAGTACAGAAATAATTCTGTTTGAACAATGTTTAAAAAAACTAAAGCTTTCTATCGGAAACGCAGACCGCTGAATGAACCCTGTCAATGGTTTACAAGTATATTGTTAACTCTACCTTCGAGGATTAACATTAGTAATTGTCTGATTTGGGAGGGGTGACGGTCAGTTCTCTTTTTTTTTTACTTCTCAGGAATCAAGCAATGGCAACCGCAGAATCACCTGTGTCGGAGAGCAAAAAAAAGTGGGATGGCATCGAGGAAACAGCCGAGAAAATTAAGGGGGATTTGGGGGCAACTATTGGGAGTTTAATTGAAGCAATTAAGGAAGTTCAAGGGGTCTGTAGTGAGTTCTATCAGGAGTACTACAGTAAAATGTTGCACGACAACTTAAACGAAACGGTGGTTAAATTGGGAGAAGAACTTAAAAAGGCGAAATCTAAAGATGTAGCCATTGTATTTGTGGGACGTACATGCAGTGGCAAATCATCCTTGATAAACGCCTTATTCAGAGACCGCTTTCTTCCCGTTTCATTTGTTCAGACAACAATGTGCAAAATTCAGGTTCGCCCTACGGCTGATGAGTGGAGTGTTGATCTAGTAGGTTGTGAAAAGCCACTCTTAAACCACGGAAAAGGAAGAGAGGACGTAATGGCCTTCTTGCAAAAGATTTCTAACGTGTCAAACTCTGCAGAAAGGGAGGAGCTCAACATCGACTCTCACAGTGTCATACAAGTGAAACGTCCTTACCCCCTCTGCATTCTACCAAAAAATATCGTTTTGATAGATACATCCGGTTATAAAGAGAACCCCGATGGCGACGAAGTTGTCCTCGACTCCTGCAAGGAGGCAGATATACTCGTTGCTGTGATGGATGTCGGGTCACCTTCCATGCATGATGTAAGGAGATGTATACATTACTTTATTATCGCTCCTGGTATGCGGGGGGCACTATTCAAATTAATCATGAAGCTTTGCTGAACAACCTTACATCGTTCACGTGAATCGTTTTTAAGAGCTTAGTTGGACGAAGAAGAGAAGTATTTTCTCGCTCATTAGCGATTGTAGGCCATCAAAATAAATTTTAGAATTGGAGGTCGAGCACAATACCTTATCTTCGTCGCTGTTTAATTAACGACGCTACCAGGTTGATTCACCTGGTAAGTTCCCAGCTGGTCGTTCGCGAGTCATTAACAGCTTTCTTTTCAATTAAAGGAAAAGATTAAAGAAATAAGTAGACGAATTATTAATTTGACAAACAACGTCAAAAACAAATCAAACCCAAAAAAGGGCAGAAAATGGGAAACAAACCAAACATACCAAAGTTTAAGTAAATATATTAACAGTGAATAAAAGAAATTTGTTCCCTGATTTATTGTATTTCGCTTTTTAGATTGCAGGTCTGCTAAACAAAGTGAATTGCCAGTTCAAATTTGGCGTCTTCACAAGATGGGATAAAGTCTTATGAGATATAGAAGAAGGCAAGAGGCAACAAGTACGAGAAAAAGGCGAAGGAGAGTTTCAGAGTTTCGTGAATGAAAAATGCATTTATTTCGTTGATGCCCAAGCAAAGGTGAGGTTTGTGCAAATCATATTCTCGCCATCTGATCAGTTACCTGAAACCTGGAAGCGAGATAAATCGAGGTATTAGACAGTCCTGTAGCGAACAGAAAGATGCGCGCGTTTTTAAGTGACAAAATCATTTTGGAGCAGGAAATGACATACGAGAAGCGAGAGAGTTCCACATGGTACAAAAACCGATTTACAATTTATAAATATACACATTGAAAAACATAAGACTCCGCGTTGCCGCGCTTCAATTAACTAACTGATCACTTATACGTCATAATGTGGCAACAGCACAAAATTGGCACCCGAGGCGTAGGTTGCAGTAATCTGAGAGTAGGCAGGAGCCTTTTCGAAATAATTTTCGTTTACATAAACTTTTAGTGGTTAACTGCTTGTAAATTGGGCGCACTATTCTGTTCCGTTTTTGAGTTCCACCACATCGCCTGACCTTCTTAGTGAGCTGCTTGTTGTTAGCGTTCATGGCGAAACGAGAAGCCCCTAAAAATTTTCAACAGTGTTACTCCAAATGCGTAGTAGCCAAAATAACATCGTAGCGAAGGTATCCAAAAGTTTGAAGATTTATTAGATTGAAAGTAGAATTTTTATTACCTTCGACTTTGAACGTATACGTAAAGATGGGTTGAGATTGTTTTAGCCGCAGAAAAAAGCGAACCGTCTTCGAGGTCAACTGCGCAAAATGAATTAACACCTTGGCGCTCACTCAACTAAACAAGGATTATGTGTTCCACGCCGAAATTCAAAATAAGACGAAGTGAAATTTACTTCGTTCTAAAGCGGGCGTTGTCTGGTGTTGTCGACGTGCCTTGAAAGGTAGAAGTTTGGGTTTTAGGGAGTCGAATGTTTCTGTCATGCTCTGATTCTGTCCAGCGTTTGTTTTCCACTCTCGCCCATTCGCATTCGGAAGGAGTACTGTAAATCACACCACTTGATATAGCTGGTTAACATTTGACCTAAGCGCCTATGGAAGACTGGTTTTTTTTAACCAAGGGAGAAATTAGTGCATTGCGAGAGAAACAATACCACTTTATCAAAACTTCGTTTTTGTATAATTGTCTTCTAGGAGACCTCCGCACAAGCCAGTGATAAAAGAAATGATTTTTTGAGGTTTGAGACAGATTTAGCACAGAGTGCAAAATCTGTTAAAGCGCAGAAAGACATGGTTCTAATAAAACGAGCTGAAGATCTCACTTCAGAATACAATGAGGACTTCGAAGAAATAAAAAACATCTTGGAGAGGAGGGAAGAATACATAGATAATCATCTGAATAAGATAGAGGGCGAAATCTGCACTTTGAAAGAAAAACAATGTTGCCTTAAAGCAGTGGGTAAGGAAGCAAAGAAGCTTATTGATCTGATAAGACTTCAATGCAATGAAGAGGAGAATAATCGATTGATAGAGGAACTTGGCAACACAATCGAGAGTTGTACCACTGTGACAAGGGAGAATGAAGTTATTGACGCATTCAAGGAGTATATAGATAGAATCAACACAGTTTTACAGTTACAAAGTGAAAAGGTAGAAAAAGAGTATCAGGAACGGAAGGATAATCTCAAATCTTTTCAAACAAAATTTCCCCAACAATTTTTGCCACCCTATAAAGCTAAGCTGAAAGATTACAGTTATAGCAGCCGAACAGACCCTTATGCCTACGTTACAAGCGACAACTTCTGGAGATTTGCGTTTAGTTGTGCAGCTGGCACAGCAGCCGCTGCAGCAGCTCCTGCAGCAGTACCAACATTGGTGGCTGCTGCAACAGCATCAATATTGACGTTCGCTGGTAGGTGATGGAGACTTTGTGCATAAGCTCCTCGGGAATGGAGGCATCTCCTCGAAGGTCATACGCATTGATCGCTTCTTTCTTAACACATTTTTACGGAGGAAAAGTAGAAAAGAGTATTTTTTAAAAATAGTTTTACCAGAACGGTGAAACTTCTACCACCCCCATAACCCCGACTGCCACCCCTAGATCCTCCGCCACCACGACTACTACCGCTATTGATTAGTACTGTTATTGCTACTGCTACTGCTACTGGCACTACCGCTATCACTACCACTAGCACTAGTACCATTTTTATCATTTATAATTGTACAAGAACTCATTCAAATATCTTGAGACAATATGATTTCCATTTTTGTTTTTTTTTTCTATGATGGTTGCTGCAGTGACAAACCCAGAAACTGGTCCTACTGCTCCCACGTTAGTGACACAATTACCAGGATCCAGAATTGGACAAAAGATAAGGAGATGTTTTGGGCCCAGTGAGAGGAAGGTCAACAGCATAAAAGAGTGGACTCGGGGAAATTTGATGGTAATCAAAACACAATGTGAAAAATTGAACGAACCAGCATCTGAAGGAATACGAATGATCGCTGAGGATTTACTAGAGATAGAAAAGGAAAAGGATCGTTTGTCGGGTGAAAAGTCAAGACTGAGTAAGGAATTCAGTCAACTAAAGAAGTGGTCGCGGAAACGAACTAAAAGCACAGAGCGTCTGCAGAAGGTCCAAGATGAGTTTAACAAGCTGAAGCTTGGGTAGGTATTGCCATCAAGAATATTCCGCATTGTCAAGCTTTGTAAGATCACAAAGTTAGGATAAATAGATAGTTAAGGGCATCTAAAGTCCAAACAATCACAAGCGCAGTTGTCTAGTATTTTCTACATTGTTGATAGATTTCACGTCCCAGGAGTCCTAGTTTCTTTTTCTCACATATCATGAAAAATGAGACCATCCGATAAAAAAAAGTCACCAAATGTCAGAAAATTTCTGGTACCCGGAACGGGGATGGTACGGTAGCGAGAGCGATCGCCTCCCACCAGTGTGGTCCGGGTTTGATTCCCAGACCTAGAAAACAACGTGTGGGTTGAGTTTGTTGTTGGTTCTCTTCCTTGCTCCAAAGTTTTTTCTTCAGGTCCTCCAGTTTTCCTCCCTCCACAGAAACCAACAATGCAAATATCATTCGACCAGGGAACAATGGAAAAGAAGAGCCATCTCGTTGATGTCCAGTGCTAAATTCCCATCATTAGCATCATCATTATAATAACAATAATAATAATAATATTAATGATAGTAATAATAATAATAGTCTAAAGAACTCCAGGAGACGATGGACGAGATGTTCGGAAGCAGAGGAAAGACCATGAACATTGCGCGCACTTTCAAGACTTATGTAGTGGCGCCAACCTATCAGAGAGGAACATTGAACATATGGACACTGACTATATAGATTAAATATTTGGGATCTCTTCCTCTATGAACTTCATTGGGAGTGGCTAAGCTGCTCGCCACATATCTTTGATAGAGTATTGATTATGTTATAATTCCGTGAGAATTATTATCGTATATTTGTATTTTTTTTCGTATTTAGATTTTATAAGAGGATTCAAGAGGGTTTTTCCTAGATTTTTTTAAATTCATTTTAGCAGCTTTATTGAATCATTGTTAAAGAGATGTAGTACATATATATAAATATATATATATGGATAGATATTGGCTAGGAAATTAATTTAATTTATAACATGGCCTCTAGGCTACGCTTAGCGCCCTACCGTGCCATTAAGATTCATAGCATTAAGATGTGTAACACTGCTGATATAATAATAATAATATAATAATAAAAATATAATAATAATAATAATTATTACTATTATTATTATTACGCATAGCAGTTAAAGAAGTGATACCATCTACGCGTTGTATTGAGTAATTTCGCTTTCATCGACAGCCTTAAGGAAATTATTACTTTCATCAGCTAAAGCGTCCTAAAATTGTTGTTGGACAATAAAATTGTTTTTGTCTTTTAATACGATGATTCATTTCCAACAAGAATAATTGTGAGACGATTTTTGACATTCGCAGTACTCTTTGTTTCTATTAATGTTAACTTTCCAGTGAGATATAGATACATGCATGCTTAACCTAAGGCACTGTTTTAATGTTTTAAAGTTCTTATCTTGGTAACTTCTTGCTCGTTTAAGACCGAACGTACTGAGGAAAATGTAAGTGTCAATTATGTTCTACAGGTTGAGAGGCAAAAACACAGTTTCTTTGGAAGACCAGACAGAAAATCAGTCACCTGTTCAACCAAAAGACCAAGAACACTAATCAAGAAGGAGAAGTTCTAGTTACTAGGTACCAAATAAGTGTTAAATTACAGCAAACTGATGAAATTAAGGATTTACACCCTCCAGTCAATGAGGCAGTGTGGCCGAATGGGTAGAGCTCTAGACTTGTAGTTTGTTGGTCCCAGGTTCAAGTCCTCAACCCTGCTGTTAACAAGATTTGTTCTCGGTTGCACTTTGTATATATCCAACATAGTGATTAAAATCACTATGTTTTGCAATGTTAATGTACAATTTGTGTCAATGGATAAGAAGAGCCATTGCGTAGACTATCCAATGCAAAATCCCATTATCTTTTATTATTATTATTTTTAAATATACAGGTTTCATACTGATCTAGAGCGGAATCATCCAATCATTAAGAGACCTCTATCTGCGTGGCCTAAAAAAACCATTAAAACTCTTTTATTGTACCTTTGTACCTTTATCTTCAGCGAGCTCATCCGGCTGTTAAAACCACTCATTTTGAATTTCAATTGATTTATTTGACCGCTCATTTTGTTTGGTATTTCTTTATACGTTTTAGGTCAATATGCAAGGTAGAATAACAGACATTTTAGGGTGCCCCTAATGCAACTTTGAATAATTGTCTTTGGTAAATGACAAATCAAAAAAAATACGAAATTGGCGAGAGTTTCAATTGCGACTGTTAAACTATACCAAAAAAGTTGTTTCCAGTGATACGGGAACCCAGCAAATCAGGAATTCGCAAGTTACAGTAAGTGTCTTAGTAACTTTAGTCTCTCTGCACAAAGCATTACGTGTTATAAGTTCGCTGGCTATGATTGGAAACGAACTGGAACAATTTAAAATATACTTAGAAATAAATGCAAGGAGGATCGACGAAAACAAGGGAATTAAGTTTACGGCTTCAACAATATATTTTGCTTTATAGCTATGTAAACATACGTTTTTGTTAGTTTATTACTTTGACCGGAGTAATAGACACTTGTAAAATGCTATATCCAAACCATATTAAAGATATCCCAATAACTCATTCCTCATGTCTCAGCGATGAAATGCTACCGGATTAATGCTGTACAAATCATTGTAATCGGTGATACACCCACCAAATGAAAGTTTAGACAGCTATGAAAGAAAAAGCATCTGAGGGAAGTTATCATTCCCCTTTAATAAGACACACCAGAGAGAGGCATGACCAAAATGGCCGCTAAAATATGGAAGCGATCTTCGCAGTAATGAACACTACTTGAGCAGTAGTGAAAATAAGGCCTGAAGAAAAAAATTCAGGCCTGTACGGGATTTCACTCTATGACCTCTGCGATACCGGTACAGCAGACTGATCTGAAGTTTTAAACAAGTTATCTATGTTCGCAAAGAAAGATATCTTCAAATGCTTGAGTAGTTGTAATAAAATGCTCAGTTCAGGATATTCTCTCTCAAAAATAGTAGTTCTGATACTTTGATGGATGTCGCAAATAATTGGTTTGACCTCCGCAGTCTACTTTCCAACCACAAATAAGTGGAATTCAAGATAGTAAGGAGCATTTATTAAGTTCCAAATGTAAATACTTTACAGCATCGCATTTACGTTTCACCACGATCTAAGGGAAATAAAAAAAATGACAGTAACCTCTAAACATTCAAGGTCCAGCTCTTAATGTGGCAACAGGGGTAACATGCGTTCTGAAAGGACAGGGACCTGTAGCAGTTCAAAATATTACTTCCTATACTGCTTGTTCGTAAGTCGATATAAAAAATTTACTGCCCTGCTGGTATACAGACATATAATACACAACTTTAGCCAAGCCTAATAGCTGAGCTCTTCTTAGTTTATTTCCAGCCCCTCACTATAATAAAAACCGTAATAAAACTCTTAAGCAAGGGCTGTCGAATAGTTTCGAGGGGATTTAGAAACCAGTGCAGGGTGGGGAATAAACGGGGTCTGGAACCGAGGGTCGATGTTCTCACAACCTGCAAAGTGATCAACACGCATGCTAGTCGGCAGTTCTTTTAAGCAGCTGAGGACCTTCGGTTTTGTTCCTGGAATGTTTTCTTCTTCACAGGCGGCCCGAGCTCACGTCTCGAGAAAAAGCAAACGATAAGTTAATGTTAACATGAAACACAACAAAAAATGTTATTAATAAGTTCAAAAAGTGTTCATTTGACAATCTACTGGTAAGTCTTTGTATTATATGTCAACCCAATCATTTTCCACAAATTGTAAGCACCATTACGAAATAATTAGTCAGGAAAATGAAAAATTTGTAGCATATACAATGTTTGAATTGCCATGTCCAGGATTGAGGAGGGTGTACGTAGGAATTTGCTTGCTTGTTTGTATCATTAATTTGCTCATGGCTCCTGTTGCCAATGTTTTGATGAGGTTGGGTTGTCAGGGCAAAGGAACTAAGAACTTTAGCAGGCAAAGTGACTTTTTTTAATCCTGGAAACTATCATTGTGAAAGGGCAGACCTGTGGTCACTCATTCTTAATCTAGGATACAATATAGGATACAATATTTTTTTACATAAATTTAATGCATAGGCTGTGCACAAAATTCTACTTTGACAATACTTTTTAGAGCCACTACCATTTCCTACACAAAATGTTAGTAGGGTCAGAGAAAAAATTAATGTACCATACATCTGCAAGAGTTCAATTAATTATTTTAAGACATGTATATCAACTGATGTTAGGAGATCTAAGAATATTCAAAAGAATATAAAATTTGGTTGAAAAATTGGAATTCAGCAGAGGCCAGATAGACAAGATACTTAGAAAAAAAAATTGTACAAATGAAAAAAGTAAGCAAACTTTTTACAACACCTGCCTGTACCTGTGCAGCTCATAGTAAAGTCATTTGAAGTAGTTATAGTCCCAGTTTTAATGCTGCAAATTTCTTGTAAACCTGTAGTTCATGCTCACCATGACTTCAAAATTTTGATGCACAACTGAAAAGGAGAACAAGTAAATTTCAAGTTTCTATTTATTCAGTTTAGGTTACTCAGATAAAATTGAGTCAAGCTTTCATACAAGGACAGGACCAAGAAATTTTCACATCTAAGTTAAAGGTTAGCCTACCTGGACCAATAACCTTCCAGTACACATTTGTACATTAAAAAAAAAGGAAGAACCATTTTTATAAGAGAAAATAATGATAAAGAATTGGTAGAATACCACAGCCCTGGGTCTGCCATTAACTTTAATCTCAAGAGAGTGCTTTAAAATTTGCAATTTGCCCATGCACAAAAAAACTATCTGTGGGAAGAAGGCAGGTTTTCCTTTCTTATTTTAAAAAATACTGAGGTTATCATCTGTTCACAAGCTCAGTGGACAGTGAGACTGAATTAGACTGATAGTATGTATGTTATCTGAGTGAATATCCAGATGATGATAAAAAGTAGGATTTGGTCTGCACAACTCTCTTATTTTAATTTTTAACCTGTAAAGCTAACTAAGGTATTTATATTCCATAGATGCCACCTAATATAACTTTCATACATCAAAATACAAAAAATGTTATCTTCATCTTTGTGCCTTACATATTAAAAGGGAGGAGGCAGGTTTAAATTTCTCTTTTAAGGTAAAGAGAAATAGATGTGGTAAACAGTTAAAATTACTACAAAGTTGAAAGTTTGAAAGCTAAAAGATATACTTTACAATCATCAAACCCTATGCATCCTAGCAAAAATGGCGTCAATTCTCTTCTCCCAAACATTCATGCTTACAGGAAATCATTAATTTTTGTCACTAGATGGTACTGTACTTACAAAAGTTCTACCAATGAAAACAAATGCATTTTTTTCAGTTACCCCATATTATACAACTTTTCAGATCATGTGGAAGGTTCTTGTATGGGGACAAACATTTTGATTACCTCAGTATACTGTAATCATCAGAATTGCAGGCCAAGGCACATGGAGAAAAGATATATTTAGAAGTCCTTAAACATGGATTAATCCCATCTTAAACTCAGGTTTAATAAGTTTAAGTTGATGTTTAAGTCACTTATACCTAGATTTAAGTTGGACTTAAACCTGGCTTATACTATCTTAAGGCTAAAACTTAATGTAGGTTTAAGTTCACATTAAATGTGTCCAAAACATTCCTGTATGTTTAAGAACTGTTTAATTGAAGTAAACAGAACTTAAACATTTAATGTTGTCAAAGTACCATTTAATGCAAATTAATCTGCTCAAAATTTGTTGCTTATTTTAGTTTTGAATCAAATTTGTGAAATCAGTGAAATATTATTGTTTTGTTGTTTCATTACTAAACTGCCACCCACCAGGTCACGTATCACACTAAACAATATATGTTTCAAGTTTCTTTTATTTTAAATTCACTGGTACACATTCTTAAAGCTACTGCCTATTTGTAATTAACCCTTTAACTCCCAGGAGTGATTAACAAGTAACTTCTCCCTAAAATATCCATACCTTATCCAGCAAAGAGATAATGAGAATTCTCAAACTTATCAGGTATAGGTCTTTGTCTTGATCTAACACCAGATTCTCATAACTAAGTTACAGGGAAATATGTAGCAACTGGAGAGGATAATTACCAATCAGATCTTGGGAGTTAAAGGGTTAAAATGTCACACATACCTAGCTTATTTACACTTGACAGGAACAAATTTTCCCCATCATAAGTCAATAAATTTAACAATACTTGGAAGAAACTATCCCTGTGATCTAGATGACAATAATTTGTTCTAACAAAACAATTACTTCAGTTTGCCATTAAATACATGATAAATAAATGAATAAAAAGTAGAAAAAGTGTTAAGTATTTTTTCAATCATGACTCATTGTTTATCTGCCTGACAGCCCAAAGTGGGCCAGCAGGTGCAGGCCTCTCCGACATGCCACCAACACTCCTTGGCTTAGCCATTGCCCTGGCATGGGGGGTCAAATTATTTTTGTAGGTTCTGTCTAGCCTGGCTTTTGCATTTGTCAAGCTTGTTCTTTCCCAAGATAGCTTCTTGGTTACATATCTTGCCAGTTTCTTTTCTTTTTCACCAGTAATGAAATCTTCTTGCTCCTCATAATCTGATTCTTCGCTGCTCATGTAATCAATGTAAAGGATTTCACTATAATACTGTTTTTCTTTTGGTGTCATAGAAGCTTGTAGCATCTCATAGGATGACTGACGCCTTTCCAGTTTCTAATGGAACAAAAAGCAACAATTCAGTCATTATTTAGTTAATGACCAGACCAAATTATATCTATGAAACATATAATTTATTGTCATATAGAAATACTTTTCTAACTCAAAATGATATCCCACAAAAGAAATTAAATATGAAAATAACAATCAGCAATAAATAGAACTCCCAGAAAAAAATTCATGCTAAAAAACAGTACTAAATTAAAACAAACCCATATTATTTGGTTAACTACCAGCAAGGTTGACTTTCTTTATTAATGTGTATTTGTACACCAGTTGTAAACATACCAGTCCAACATACAGTGTATGACAAATTTGTGCATGGCATTGTTTCATTTTTTGTTGCTGTATATTATCCCACATTGTATTGTGTTTTCAAACTAGTATTATGTTGGTACAATGCCATGCACAAATTTGCCATAGTATTGCACAACACTTGTTGTCAAACTGAATTGAAACGTTTGATTCAGAAGCCATGCTTCAGCCACACTATCTTGAAAATTTATTCTTGAATACAAGTTTAGCATGGCAGAAGCAAGACAACTTAGCTAGTCCTTACATTTAGCAAACGCCTGCTCCTTTTGCACCTTTCTTTATGCTATTCATTTTTCCCTTTTCTTATCCTCTGCTCTCTTTCTTTAGTTGTTTTGAAATACCGATAGAACTGAGCTGTTGAGTTAAAAACAATAATTATTATCGCTGCATGACATCCTAAAATTACAATAAAATGACTAGTCTATGTGTATATGTAACATCAGCTTATGGATATATATTATTTAAAAGAATTAATGCTGGTAATATTGTGTTTTCCCTTCTCAGTTGTTAAGTTTTCTGTCCAACTTATTGCAGAAAATTTGTTTGATTTTGCACAAGGTAGATACTTCTTGTTCTAACTTGCAAACAACATTAAAACTTGATTCCTGTAATGTCATACCTTCCATTTGTAAGTCAGTCCATAGGCAGCTTTCTCCTCCATGCTCTTTTTTCAATACTTCTTTCACTTTTGTAAAAATACTCTGGTTTCTCTCTGACTGTGGACTGTAATAAAAATGAGAATATTATTTTTGTTTTAAACAATAGCCAGAGGCAGTTATAATAATATTATTCAGGGCGTGAAAATGAGAATATTATTTTTGTTTTAAACAATAGCCAGAGGCAGTTATAATAATATTATTATTATTCAGCCAAAAAAGGAAGTAATAAGGCAAGTAAAGCAGTTATACAAGAGGGACAATTTTCTAATCACTGCTGGTACAGTGCAGAAGCTACATGCTTTTTACACCTTCAAACTGACATTAGGACTTCTGGTTCTTGGAGGGAATAGATTTCTCAAAACAACAATTTGCATGTATTAATCTATCAGCAACATAATAGTTGAAATAACAGATTCTAAAAGTTTACCCCCTCCTACTCCCAATTTGAATATTTTACACTGGCCCCAGACTCTAAACACTGGCCTCACAACAGATAACTAACAGTCCCTTAGAAGAAGCTGGTCAGAGAGAGATTTAGTTCTTAGTGGTAAAGTTTTAATTCTAATATCTTGCATGTCATCTCTCTTAGTGCCTTGCTATTTGAACACATCATCTTATGTAAGGTAAAAAAAGAACATACTCCTCATCAATGATGAAACCTTGTATCACTTTTTTTTCTACCATCTTTTTGTAGATGAACCGAAACCGTTTCTGGAAGATAATATGGAAGAACATCATATGTCAAAAGTCACTTCAAACCACAAGCTTGTTTATTTCTTTAATCAGGGTCAGCAGGGTTTTTGGGTAAACAGTACACAGTGGAACTTAAACTGGGTAAACAGTATTTTTGCTTAATGCTTGCAAAACAGGCACAAGAATTCAGCGCAAGGATGTTCCAACTTTTTGATAAGCACTAGAACCAACATCTACACATATTGTGCTTTAAGTTATAAAGCTTTGGGTTTTTGTAGCACCATTTCCCACTGGTGAAGAAGAACATGCATGCTTTCTTCACACTGGTAACATACAGGTTTTCTTATGCTTGTGCCTGTTTCACGATTTAGAAGCTTAATAGCGATCTTTCCACACTTATAAAGCTAAAGTGTCTGAACACGCGTGATGGCCGGAATGGCGGTGTCTCTGAAGACACGTTTTATGCTTCTGATGCACCGCAACTGAAAATCTGAATCACAACTTAACGGTACTAAAGTTGAAAAAATTTATATCCTTAAAGTAATAAAAGAATATTTACCCTTAAGTCATTTGGAATCACAACATTTGATTCTCTGCGAGAGCTTTTAGAACGTTTGTTGCTTTTCTTCTTTGACTGCCCTTCCAGACTCGCAAGTTGGTTCTTCAGCTTTGCATTTTCTTGCCGAAGGACTGCATTCGTATCTTCTAGTTTCTTTTGCCCTTCGAGAATCGAATCAATTCTTCTACTCATTCTTTCCATAAGAACAAGCTGTCTCTCTTGAACTGGATCGTTTGCAGCCATCATCCGATCGAGGAAGAATCCAAGCACGAGCCCGCAACGAAACGAAACTCGACCGAGTGAACGAACGACAGTGAAAGATCAGTCATCCCGCGATTATAGTTTTGGACATTTGATTGGCGTTGATTGGCGTTCATACAGTATTTGTCATGCGCATAAGGATCTCGGCCTCTCTCTCGGGACGAGACATACCGCGTTCTCGATACTAACGCGCGCTTTTCAACCTTCAGTTAGAGATGTATGGTGACGTTTGCAGTTCAGAGCTGTTCACTTCATGCTCAGAAACCCCGGTTTCCTTGTTCGGCAATAGATGCGACACTTGTGGAAAGTCTTTTGTACATTCCTCTTCTCACCGACGACATACAAGAACGCAATGCGCTTCACAATCACGAAAACGCCGTCGAAAACTTTGGATCTCCGATGAAGTTAATGTTGATGAAGAAGATGTTGGAGTTGCCCCGCTGTTGAATACTTCTCAGTGTGAAAGCGAAGATAAAATTTTCTGTTATTGTCTTTTACTATGGGAATCAAGTTACATTCGTTGGTGGTAGCAAACCTGCAAAATTATTATGAACACTGGTCATAGACTAAGAAGTTTCAGAAGTGCATTTGTTTTCATTTTGCCAAGCGTCTGTACTGTTATATAAACCATAGAAATGACATAGAACACATCAGATGTAAGTTATGAGTTAATTCCAAAAGCGATCGATCATCCCTTTCTCAAGTTTAATACCCAGGGTTGTCACGGTCTTTTATCTTTAAGGTGAAACAGGGAACGTTGAAGATATTGCAAGTCCTGACTTTTTGGAACCAGACTTCATTGATGAAACAGATTGTAATGATAGCAATGAGGTACACTAATTGTTTGAACATTTGTGTTAAGCTACTTTATTTATTAATACAGGGAAAGTAGGTCAAAAATAATGCCTGATTTTCCTTCTTTGGTGCGGAATTGCCATCTACGTCCTTTTTGTGACTTAATTTACTGGCTTTTTTTTGCCCAGAAATTGCATGAGAAATTATGAAATATAATCTACTGTACTATCAGGGCTGTCACTAAGTGTGGGCTGGAGTTGGGAATTTTCCCCCACCATCCCAGGTTACTTTAAATTTAGACATGAAAACATTGACATTACCAGAATAAACCTGTTTAATACAGATACCTTAGGGACCAAAAGCTTTGTCTGTAATAAGGTGTCTATATTCACTAGTTAGGAACTTTCTGTAAATTAAACCAGCCAAAGGCCATTTAATAAGTGCCATATCATGAACCCTTGGCTACCAATTTTTCTACAGTAATGTATTAATTGATATTAAAAAAAAATTCTTTTAAATTTTACAGGAGCATTCCTTCCAGGAGATCTCAGAAAGTGAACCAGAGGATGAACCCAACCCTGAATCCTGTGAGGAAGATGATGACCTTCAAAATGTTGAGGAAAGCGCACTTCATTGGAGTGAAGAGGACCTACAAGGTCTAATGCAAGATTTAAATGAACTCATTCCAGAACCCCACATCAACAACCATTGTTGAACCGGGTCAATGAACTTATTTGTTGGCTCTGTTGTTTCATCATGTACTAGCAGGTTGTTACCCATGTAAGTGATGCAGCTGTGGAGTGGCTTCTAGCATTTTTGGGAAGGTTTCTTCAGACCTTAAGTTTTGGACTGGACTCTGAGTTTTTCAGTAACTTGATGCTACTTTTTCCAGCTACCATCTACATGTTGCATAGGATTTCAAATTTGAAGAGGGATGAATTTGAAAAATTTGTTATCTGCTCCAAATGTGCAAAGCTGTATCATTTGGATGAATGCCTCGAAAGAAAGTATGGAACAATTCTCCCAAAGAAGTGCAGTAACATTCTGTTTCCCTTAGGGAAAGCAAAGCACTGTGGAAGTAAGCTTGTCAATAAAGTTATCCTCAAGAATGGTGCTACTAAGTTTTATCCTTTGAAAGTGTATTGTTGGAAGAGCATTATTAGTCAACTAGAAAGCATTTTGCAAAGAACAGGAATTCCCAAACTTTGTGAACAGTGGAGAACAAGGCAAGTTGAAGAGTCTGTGCTTCGTGATGTTTATGATGGAGAAGTGTGGAAGAATTTCAAGTGGAAAGATGGTAGTCACTTCTTCAATCTGGAGCGCCGATATGGACTAACCTGAGCAAAACTAAGGAACTAAGTAAGAAGATTGAAGAATTCACTAAAGCAACATCCATCGGGAGAATTCCACGGAAAATAGGAACAAATTATGGGAACTATACAGCTGAAGAATGGAAGAATTGGACTCTGAAATTTTCCATGTATGCTCTTTATGGAATTTTTCCAGACAACCACCTCCGGGTTTGGGAGAGATTTGTTCTGGCATGCAAAATTCTTTGCCAGCCAGTTATCACCAAGCAGGAGATTAAGAAAGCTGATGCTCTGCTAGTGAACTTCTGTACAGGGATGGAAAAATTGTATGGAAAACAATTTTTGACTTGCAATATGCATCTTCACTGCCACCTACATTCTGTGTTATTAGACTATGGGCCAGTATTTGGCTTTTGGTTATTTTCATTTGAACGTTACAATGGACAAATAGGATCCACACTAACTAACAGTCGTTCGGTGGAAATTCAGTTTATGCGAGACTTCTTGAAGGAGCACTTTCTAATGCCATCAGCAGGAAATCTACCAACCATTTACCATGAAGAATTCATGCCAATCTTTGATAGATGGGGAGAAAAAAGAACCACTGCATCAAGAGAGAGTAAAGTGCAACAGTACTACTTATTGTCTCAGCGAGCCAACTTTGCCAATGTGTTGTGGTATGACAATACCAATATAAGAGTCCCTGCTTCTTACCAAACTGACCTACTGACATCAGTGGACATTGCTAAATTGTTAATATTATTGTTTACCATGCTTTGTATCCAGAAGAAAGGAACATTGACATTGGTGATCTTCACTTCACCATAAAGAAGTTTTCAACCATTTTTGTTGGTGTTGTTGGTGCAGAAAAGTTTGGCTCCAAAGCCGAGTCAAGAACTTTAAGGAGTGCTAGAGTACTGGCTTCCTGGCACGGTGCTGAGGGACTGATCAGTGCAACATCTCCATTATCCCCTGGGATAACTGATTTCTTAATGTGTCACAAATTAACTGTCAATGGAACAGAAAGAGAGCATTATTTTGCTTGTGTTCAGTGGTTCAAGAAGCATCCCTGGAACCAATGCTTGGGAAGTTTTAATACTCTTTGTGTGTGGGACGCAAGTAACTTTGAACCTAGAGCATCGAGCTACTTTTTGCCTGTTTATAGGATACAGTCTTTTTACTGGAGCTTATTTAACTCTTGACAATGTAAAACTCATGGCAGTTTGCCCTATTCCACGCCATGCCACTATTTTACCAGCCAGTTATTAACATCAATCTACATTCACATGTCGTTGTTGTTTTTAATATAATTAACAATAAATATTATTCCCCATAGTGGCGGTGGATATTTAATGAGCCGTGAAGTATATACCAAACCAGTTAGATAAAAGAATTATAAATTTATATCTCAGAACACTGCAAAAAAAGTTTTTCACACTTCAGCTTAAGCTGGGAGGTGGAAAGCACATGCATGTACTATCCTGAGTTTGAGTAGCCAATCAGAGCATGCAACACTATCCACTGGTTTGGTATATACTAAAATTATATGGTTTTGAAGAAACGTACCTTATTTGCTCAGGTTAGTCAAATTCCCTGTGCAACCACCTTTCTTTAGTGAAACAGTTTCCAACACAAGAAATCAAGTCTCAGGTTCACAATCAACAAACACAATTTCATTACCCAAAGAATTGAAAAAGCAATAAAATCAGTAGCGTGAAATATTGTGGCTTTACTAACTACATAATATTAATATTAATCTATGATTAATTCATTGAAGGTTGCTGGAGGCTGTTCTCACATGGTTTCTGGATCTGGTGAGAGATTATGTCAATAAAGTAGACTTGGTGTACACCAAAAGATTTGATGTGTTTTGAAGGTCCTTAAACATGGCATAAATATTAGGATAGATTTAATGTTCTATTTAAGGCTCCTTTAACTGAATCTTAAATCTCCCCAATAGGCTTAACGTTATATTTAAGGTGGTTTAAAGTAACCCTAAATCTTTCAACGGATTTAAGTACGGTTAAAGGGACTTAAACATAGCTTAAATCTCAATGTCGATTTAATTTGCATTTAAGAATGCTTAAACCTCGCTTAAACAAAGGTACATTTTTAAGTCATGTTTAAGTTTAGTAAACATGGCTTAAATTTGTCTGTGGATTTAATAGTTGTTTAATTTTACTTAAATGACACTAAAATTTGGCATTTTACCCGGGCTAGGTGTATTAACCAAGTGCTTAAGTTTCCAATTAGTCACCTTACTGTTACAGTCAATCTCACCCCTTTTCTTCAGCTGGACCATCCTGTTACATGTGAAAACAACAAATGTTACTTTTGCCAGCTGATGTCTGAGAAGAATCACATCCACACCGATAATTTGACACATTGTAGGCAAACCCTACAACTGATTAAATTTTATTGGATCAAAAACATGAAAGGCAATGG